GAGCACATGTTCCGTGGTCTTCCAGTCTAGGATTCGTGTTGTGGTCATATAACGACTCTCTGCTCGCTCATCCCTACTACCTGGTGAACAAGGCCACACATTTTTGAGACAGCTGTCCCTGACAGGATGTCAGGTAGAACGTTATTCTAACTAAGTTGTTCTTAAGAATATATTATTCATGTGTTTATGGGGATATAAAAGAAATAACCACTGCTGCCAATCATACAACAACATGAATAGTGAACCATATAGTATAGGCTATTTAGTAGCAGTAGTCAATGTCTATCTTCTTTTGCTTTCTGAGATAAGGTCTGTCTGATTTGCAGCCCAAGGTGGCTCTGGTCTCTTGATCCTTTAGTCTCCACCTCTCGAGGGCTCTGACTATCTGTGTCTGCCACACTCTGGTCAACACACTGCATCCCTTCTTTAATTATTATTTTAGAGGGTGAGACTTCTAGTTATTAGAAATCAGTAATTACTGCAACATACTATATTAATCATGCTAACAGGGCAACAACCTAGTCTACCTTGTATTTACCATGTCTCATCATTGTAGTAAAAGACCATTCAGAGTCGTCAGCCTAGATGATCTGGGTTTTTATGGATATCCTCTCTGGCGTTTGCCTACCTCACTCAGTGCACATGGCTCAGGGATTATCTCTGCTGTGAGGAGGCACAAGGCTGGTTTAAAAAAAAGCATGTCACCTGTCATCCTCAGTGTTTTGTTATTTATAGGAGGATACTACAATGGCTTTGAAAACCTGACAGCTTCTCTCAGAACTGGAGAGGATCTTTGCTTTAGAGGATGGAGCGGGCAGGTGGGGCCAGGATTCTGAAAGCTCCAAGGCCATAAAAACTGCCCTCAGCCGGTTCTTGTCTTGCTAATGTAAAGAATGAAATTCGTGAACCACAATTGATGGGGTTGAGAGAGGAGTTTATTATAGATTCATACGTGAGGGCAAGGGAGATGGAGAGGTATGTGGTTCCCAGGAAACAGAGTTTCAGTGAGCTGCTAGTTTGAGGGCTTTTCAATGGCTTATGGCAGGAAGTAGGGTGGGACCTGGGGAAGGGGATGAGGTGACCAGTCCAGTTGGCCCAACCAGGATTCAGGTGCCTTTTCTAGGTTTCAGCCAGTGGTCACGTAGTCAGGTCGTTTAGTACAGCCCTTAGGCAGCAGCGTTCATGTTGAAGATAGTGAAGACACAGAAGTCAGAACTCTCTCCTGGCCTCCAGCAAGGACATTCTGGGAATTGATGCTTGGGGGTGTCCGTGCCCTGCACGTCCAGTTCTAGCCCATGTTATTACCATTATTATTAAATAAATATTTTTTTCTTTTAAAATTACTTTTCTTTCGTAGTAGAATAAACTTCATTTTGGAGTCTTTATATCCTTCGTGAAGCTAGCTGAGCATGGTGACACGCGTGTGATTCTTGAACTTGGGAAACAGAGACAGGCAATCTGTATGAATAGAGGGCTATCCTGGTTTGCTCCGTGAGTTTGAGTTCCAGGACACCCAAGAGTCCATAGTGAGATCTTATCACACAGAAAGTGTCAAGCAAAGGTGCTCTGAGCTGTGAGAAGAAAGAGAGTGGGGAAAAATGTAACAGTGCGATTAGCTAACTAGGTATCTTTATGAAGATAGCCTGGAATCAGGTGACCGTTCCTTCTGGCTTCTCTTCCTGCCTTCCTTTCTTTCACTCATTTTGTTGAGGAAATGAACGGGAGGATATTGACTGAGCGCTGGGATAAAGCTTCATGTACAGAATTAATACCGTCCTACGGTGGAAAAGCATGGAGCCCTGTACAAAAGTCAATCTCATCACGAGGACGCAAACCCCACGAATGAAGCAGGATGACAGGAGTTTTGACCGCTGTCTAGCACATTGTATATAGAAACAAAGGAATAAACCCAGACAGGACATTATAAGACACCAACAAACTACTGCCTCTCTCTTCCTTCCGAGGATACTTTGGAACACAAGTATTCCCACCCACCGTGGTCACCAGAGGGGCCCCACTAATTTCTTTTCTTTTCCAAAGCACCTGCTATGCAGTGTTCACAGCAAGACTCCAGCATCCTCCTCAGCATCTTAATCAGCTCAACCACTGAAAGTACAGCTCACATGCCAGGGATTGACCATTTCTGCCCAAGCTATATTTTTCTATGGGCATTTGGGGGTACCCAAACTCCTTGCTTCTTTTTCTTAATTCTTTCTTCTACCCACCTTTCTTGGCTCTCTCTATGCATGTTCCCTTCTCACTTTTTCTTCTATAGACATTAGTCTCAAGTAAGTCCTTTGAACCTCTGTTTTACTAAGAATAGGGCCAAAGTACATAAGTGCTACCTTATAAAATTATGCCATACCTATTGAATAGGGTGGTATATGTTTATTGCCCAGGTATTATTTATTATATAAGTTGGTATATTGCCTTGGTAAAATACATCATACTAAATAAAAAGTTATGATGATCATCATCAATGCCAGAAGTATTTGTAATATCAAATCCCATACCTAGAATTGACATGTCCAGTGTTCCCTCTGCCTCTAAGATCTTTTATTTTGATGTGAAGTCCAGTTCCATGCTTTTAACATTTATCCACAAGGCAGGGGATATAGAATTATGATGCCAAATATCATTATATTATTCATTCTTTTAACAAATAATTTGGAGATTAAATATATGACAAGAATTATTTAGTATACTTAGGATTTTGAAGTCCAATGAGCAGGGAAAAGTTATTTAATGGAAATATATATATATAGTGACAGACTCTTGAGACAGCTCAGTGGGTGAAAGCGCTTGCCACAAGCCTGAATACATGAATTCGAGCCCTGAGACCCATGAGGTGAAAGGATGGAACTTACCCCAATTTCTGTGTACTTCTTCCTTGCACAAAACAAATACATAAATGCAACAAAAATGATTTTAAAATATATAGTGTGATAAATGTCTGCATATCTGGAGATATCTGCTAGAGGTTCACTTAGCCATTGTAAAACCGGGTGAGATAGATATAAGAGATAATGATGTACACATTGTATATTTTACAAAACCCAAAAGACAGTAACAGATCTACAACAGCTGAGTCACAGCCAGACTTCAGGTTTGAGTCTCAGAGAGTCCCTGAAGATGCATCCTGAACCTCAAACTCTGCCATATCCTCTAAAAGACTGACAAAACACACATTGTTGGCACTTACCCCAACATTGTCAACATTTGCTGGCCCTGGAACTACATTTCCAGAACCATGCTAGGCAGGGCTGCCTCTGGAAACCTCCCAATAATCGCGGAGGCCCCGGGACAAAGGGTGTTTTGCCTGGAACTCATTTTATCTCACACTATTCAATATAAACTACACTTTGGGGCATGAAACATGTACCCATCATCTGCTTATTTGCAATAATTGGCAATGGCATGTAACAAGTGATTCAACTCTCTAAATCTTTTTTTTTCTAATATCAGAATGAATTCGTTAATCCAAAGAGCCCCCAAATCTCTATTTGTCTTTGCAGAACAGTTGCTTAAAATTTCTTTCACAACTAAATGTTCTAATTTGATCATGCACTTCAAAGAAATCCCCAGATTCACTTTTTAGCTCTAAGATATGGACCATTTAGTAAAATTTTTAATGTTTTAGCAATGGCAAATTTTGCAGAAATTTAGGAAAGTAATGTTAGTATGTAATGGTGCCTTTAAAAATGCTACCTTAATTATACAATGTCATTGTTAATCCTTTAAGGACCTATGAAGTGTAGAAGGTGTTGGCCCCTCCCCCACTTAGTTCTTGTAGCTGAATTCACAATAAAGAGCACTTTCACCCCTCTGTTCCCATGAAATGCTCCTGCCAAGCCTGCGTGTTTTTAAGGTAGAATCTGGAGACAGAAGTGGCTTGTTCTTCAACCACTTTGCTTCCTCATATTGCTTCCCTCAGTGGGAAAAGTCTACATGCAGATATCTGTGATCCGTGAGACGGGACAAAAATGAGCGAACGTAATTGGTCCAAGAGGCACGTTGAGTTTGCCTAGTCCACCACCGTAACCCCAGGTTAGCTCAGAAGGAACTCGAGCCTAGCGTACAACAGCCAGGCAACTCAGAACAGTTCTCGCAAGAAGGGCAGGCGACTTCTCTAAAGATTGCTACCTAACAATTGTAGGCAAGAAGATTGAAAGTGGAGCTAAGGTTCCAAAAACCAGCCTCCCATCAGGTCACGAGGGTCAAGACCTGACACAGGAGCTCAGACTGCCGCTGTCAGCACACTGGGGACTAGCTACTTCCTCTTTAGCCACCTCTTGCTTTTCATTCTGAAAAGAGAAGGGCTTGAGCAACGTGATCGATTGAGCGCTTGGTAACCATCTCTACCCTCTCACCCAGTTCAGTCCTAGAAGAGGGAAAACCAAAAGCGGATGCACCGAAACTGCAAATAGGCACTACAATTGAAATCTGGTAAATAGGCGGAGAGGAAACCAAACGAAACCGAGAAGATTTAAAAAGGTAGGAGTTGGGCAACGGAAAAGAAGTTCTCAAACAACTCGAGTGGCTGAGGTTAACGAGCAAAGTTGTTACACAGGCGACAAAAAGCCGCTAGCAACTGGACCAAAGATTAAGAGAAGGACAACAAGGGAAAGAGAATTACACTCGGTAGACCTAAGGTCAACCCTGTCTTAGCCCGGGTTAGGTTCTATTTTAATCACACTGGCATTACAAAACTCAGCAATCTGGCCAGACCCCTCAGAGCCCTCAGCCGGTGAAGGGCAGAGGTTGTCCTACCCTCCGCCCCCCCCCCCCCCAACACACACACAGACACACGTGGTGCCCATCCCTACCCCGCCCTATCTCTAATTTCCTCTGGCCACCTCGCCTTCCACCCACCCAGCTCTTCCCAGCCAGTCCGGCCTCACCTAGTCACACCCTACCCCGCCCTCACGCCAGCCTCTCCTCCCCCCCCCCCAACTTTGTTCGGTTCTCAGTGCCCTGTAACCCCGCCCCTGAGTTTAGGGTTTCCGGGCTCTTGGGTATTTTAAGGCGCGTGCCGCTAGGGTCGCCTGACTCCCATCATTCGGTGCTCCGCTTCTTGCTTTCACTGCTCTCGGCTTCCCGGGCGCCATCAGCCATGGGTCCCTGGCTCTACTTGGGGCGCGCCGCCCTGTTGCTGGTGCTCTTGGGAGTGTGCACGGTGCGCTCCGACACACCTGCCAACTGCACCTACCCCGACCTGCTGGGTACCTGGGTCTTCCAGGTGGGCCCCAGACGTCCCCGAAGCGACATTAACTGCTCGGTGATGGGTAAGCCGCGTCCCGGGATCCCCCCCTTGTCGTCCTTTTCTGTCCCTGAGTCCCCTGTCTTGGGGCCGGCGTGGCGTTTGTGGGTGACTGGGAAGTTGGCAGAAGACCGGTCCCTTGGGGGGATCAGATGAGCCAGGGCCGCCAAGTTGAATTGGAGCTGCTGAGAACTTTGCACTTAACTTTCTTGAATTTCTCACAACTTGTGCTTTCGAGAAAAGTTCGATTAAAAAAAAAAGAAAGAAAAGAAAAAAACTGTTTGAGTTGAGTTGATTTCTTAGAAGAAAGTGGAGACCTGCTTTCTTCATCTTCCACTTCAGTCTGGCAGGCTCTTGTTTTTAAAAACCCTGTTGACCTCAGACTCGGTAGAACGTAGCACGTTGTTGTTAGGGTTTGTTAGCTGTTTTATTTGGGGATCTGGGAACCCCCCCCCCCCGCTCGCCACCGCGAGACTGTGGGAAAGGAACGATTTTAAACTCAGTCTCTGCTACCTGCTTCTTTCCTTGATACTTAAGGTTGTTGTTCTGTTTGAAGACTGCCAGAGATATACAAAAGCTTTTTTTTTTTTCCCCTTTCTGTTTCTTTTGTCACCTTTACCCTGCAGTATTTCGATGTGCCTGGAACCAAGCACCGTGCCTCGCTCGGGGAAGGCTCTCTGGGAGTCTGTAGTGAGCAAACACCGGGGCGTTCCACGTGCTGCAAGACTAGCTGCTTGTCCCTAGGATACTAGTACAGAAAAGGGACACTTCTGGTCTTCCCTGTCAGGCTTGACTTGCACAAACTGTTACCTCTGGGCTGTAGTCACCTAGTCAGTATAGTAAAAGCTGTCACACACCGTCACCCCCACCCCAGTCCCCACCCCAACTCCAGAAAAAAAAAAGACTCATTTTAATTAATGCCAGGTGACTAGGGGCTTTGCCTAGTTCTGGACGGTATCTACTATTATTTCTTTTCTAAGTTTAAGCGTGGATATAAGACAGAAGGAGTTTGCATAGCCATCCTCCAGGGCGTTGATCTGAATGAAGGAACAAAAGTGAGGATCTCTGCAGATGTTCTTAGCTGAATGCTTCTCTAGGAGCCTCTCTGCCTACAAACCTCCTTCTGTCCCTAAGCAACAATTAAAGGCACACAAAGATCTCACCCCTCCCTGTTCTTATGAAAGTTAAACTTTAATACCTATCAATTCAAATTAGTTATACGTATTATAAGCCTCGTGTTTTCTGAGTCTTTGGAAGGATTCAGACCGAGGTGTTAGTTTTTTACAGAGGTTGAGGAGAGAGGCGTGTCATTTCCTTGAATAGATAGCTTTCCATCTCCATAGGTTCAACTCATCCTTAGGATTTGAAAGCTGCTCTGTTTCTATGGTCTTCCTTTTTTTAATCAGTAGTTTTTGTCTTTCCCCTGTTCCTTTCTGCAATTTTGAACAGTCCCCTTCCCCCATTCTTTGCTGGATTAACATTCTACTACTGAGTCACAACACATAGGCATACCTTTTTGTTGTTGTTTGTTTGTTTGTTTTTTGTTTTTCAAGACAGGGTCTCTCTGCTTAGTCGTGGTTGTCCTGAAACTTGCTTTGTAGACCAGGCCTGCCTCTGCCTCCTGAGTGCTGGGATTAAAGGCTTCTGTGCCACCCCTACCTGTCAATTCTTATTTTTTGCTTGTTTGTTTACTTATGTGCATTGGTGTTTTGTCTTCATGCCTGATTGTATGAGGTGTCAGGTACCCTGGAACTGCCATGTGGATGCTGGGGACTGAACCTGAGTCCTCCAGAAGAACAGTCAGTACCCTTAACAGTTGATCCATCTCTCCAGCCTTTAGTTGCACAGTGGTCAGCTCTGTATTCTTCAGAAGCCTCGCTTTATAGGCTTGTCCAGACCCCTCCACCACAATACAGAGGAAGCAAAATTGAAACTTTTGAAGAAGTCTTTCTGGAAAGAATCTCACTATGTAACCCTGTATGGCCTAGAACTCAACTCTGTAGTCCAGGCTAGTCTCCTAGAAACCTGCCTGTGCCTATATCCCCACTGCTGAGTTTTTCCTATGGGTGTCCAGCAAAGCCCATTTTTTTTTTTCATGAACTAGATAGATCATGAATCCCAGTTAGGTTGCAAGGTAGGAAAATACCTTAATCTCGAAATTATTGAGGCAATGCACTCCCCTAGGTGTTCAGTCGACTTTCATGTGTTTTCTGTTTCATTTCCTTTAGAACCAAGAGAAAAGAATACAGAGGTCGTGGTACACCTTAAGAAGTTGGATACGGCATATGATGAATTTGGCAATTCTGGGCATTTCACCCTCATTTACAACCAAGGCTTCGAGATCATACTGAACGACTACAAATGGTTTGCCTTTTTCAAGGTTAGTTTACCGTTCCCAGTCATTGCTTATCTAGAATGTCTCCTGATTAGGGGCCTCCTGGAGTCTTATTTTTAGACCAAGAAGAGAACCAGAATTGATGCTAATTTTCTAAGACAAGTTGGATATTGTAAAATTGACATTTCAAAATTAAAATTTGGGTAAGTTTGATTGTACATTTAAAAATGTATAGTCTTTTGTTTATACATATAATCTAACTGTGGGAAAGTTTTTACTAGTTTTAAACGTTCCCTCAGCCACCGGCTTTGCGGTGAACCTGTAGGAAGGATAGGAGAGGATGAATTTCATTTTCTGGATTGATGCTGTCCTTCTAATCATGACCTCCTGGCTTTGAGAGACTGACCTCAAGAACTCATTGGAGTATTAAAATGTACTACATATGCTAATGTGAATAATTTACTTGGTTAGAGAGAGAGGGGATACATAAAAGTCATTATGCTCCTCGGGCTGATTAAAACAAAAGACAAGCTATCTGACACAGCAAGAGTTTGATTTCTCCGACTAGTAAAGAACCATTGTATGTGCCTGTATTCAAACGCCCTGCTTCTAGTAGGAGCTCTCTCTGGGTTACAAAGGGTGGAACTCTCTAGATTCTGTGGCTCCCATGTGTTCTTTAGGAAGAGTTGAAACTTTTCCTATAGGCTTAATATTCAGGGATTCAAGTAAATTGAAACTGAAGCAGCTGTTTCTCATTATACTTGGAATATATATATACAGAGTTTTCCATGGGGCCTTGCAGCCGCTGGAGCATCTGGTGAGGATAGAGCGTTTATAGAGACTTCTGGGAAACTGGGGAATGCATCTGTTAAAAGTGGCAACAGACAGCGTAGGCCTTGCAGTTTGATTTCTCATGTGACATGACTTATCACCAGGATATAGTCTTCTGAGCCAAACATATTTCTTAGAATAATAACTTCCAGAAATATTTTAATGCAGACTTCTCTTTAAATAAATAAAGTAAATAAATGAAAGAATGAGATCCAGAATGCTTAATTTCTCTCTGGTAACTGACTAGCAAGGAAGAACCAGTCTGGGAACTGTCAGCTTGGAGCCTATTTGATTAGCTCAAGCCCAAGTATGACTAGCTGTTAACTATTTTTAAGAACATCTCCTAGCATTGCACTAAAATCCATCCTAACAGCATCTGAATCTCATGTTTCGGTTGCATGGTGGGTGTATTCAGTCTGAATTAGTTCTCAGTGTGTCTTTGAATGGGCCTAGGGTTTTGTTTGTTTGTTTGTTTTGATATACATCATTTCCCCCTTCTGTTTCCTCCCTCCAAACCCTCCTATATACTCTTCCTTTCTCTTTTTCAAATTCATGGCCTCTAATTTTCATTATTTCTTGCTATGTCCATAAATGTATGTATGTATGTATATATGTATACACACACACACACACACACACACACACACACGTTCCTAAATGTATAAGTATAGCTTTCTCAGTCTGTTTTACATTATTTGGTATCAGCTTCCCTGAGGAAGACTTTCTCCCCTTCTCAGAATTCTTTAGTTGCCTGTAGTTCTTTGTTGAACTTTATAGTCTTTCCCTGAGCCACTTTATCATGTCTATTGCTGTTCTGGTCTAGCTCATGTTCAGGGCCAGGGGCTTCTAGACCATTTGTATAGGTACACTCCTTTCAAAGTTCTTAGCCTTCAGATCAAATTTGGCTTTTAGACCATTTGCATACGTACATTCCTTTCAAAGTTCTTAGCCTTCAGATCAAATTTGCCTGTTGGCTTAGCAAACAAAAGCACACACACACACACAAAAAATAGATGCTTAGTTTTCATTATCAGCCCTGAGATGTGCCATAATTTGCTGTCTTTGTGGTTTTCTTCTTCCTCTATCTTTTATCGACACACAGGAAATAATTAGTATATTTGCTAAGAAATGAAGAAAGAACAGAATGAATGAACTTGAACTCGGTTTGGAAATAAGTTGAGTAAAATATTGGGAAGGTGGGAATGGGCTATAAATAGATGAACAAATAATCTGTCCACTTGTCTTAGAAAACTACTGCCAAATCCTGGGGAGGAAAAACTGGTAAGATCACCGTTTAACTACCAGAGGCATAGTAATCAGAAATAGGCTCGGGCCATTTCCCACAGCCTTGTCAGGGAAAGTGGGGCTATCTGGCAGCTGAATGAAGAGTTGGGGCATGCTGTATTTTTTTTTTTTTCAGATCAGTTTGGGCATGTTGAATATTTTGCCAGAGCATAGGGGTATTAATCACATTAGGTGAAAGAACTAATTTTAATAGAGGCAAATGTGTTGTTCAGCCTAGCGGAAGGAGGCAATGTCTATGGAAATGACCAGTGAGTCAGGGATTGTCGGAGCCTCACACCTCTGGATGGTGTTAGACACGTGCTTATTCCCTCATTAAGTAGGAAGATGGCTCTTACCTAAGTGATTTTTTATATATGTGGACTAAGGTGGCCATGTTCAAGAACCATAAGTAGGGCCATGTTTCCTTTTGCCACAGAAAAACACAAGCACTGTGCTTAGTTGGGTCTGGTGATAAAGATGATACTTTCAACAAGCGGTGGGCAAAATATATGGGATTTTTGGTTCTGAGATATGTTTTAATGTAATCAAGTAATTCCAGATGAGCAAAGTTTGCAAAGGTTGCTACAGAGATCAGGTGACCCAAGTTAGAGCCTGGAACCCAGGTAAAGGTAGACAGAGATCCACAAAGGTGTCCTGTAATCTCCATACATGCAGCATGGCCAAGTATAGCCCTTTGCACTCACACAATGTAATACATAACTAAACTTTTAGAGCATTTAAATAGCAAATACAGCAGCAGTACTGAGGAAAAATGTTTAAAATTTCAAGCAAAATTGTAAAGTGGAGTGGCTACAGATAAACACAGAGTCAGATACCTTGGGTGACGTTGTTGACCCAAAGCTGGTTGGATTTTATCATAAACATCAGGGAGTTTCCTACAGTTCTGGGGAACTACGCTTCGAGGAATGTGTAACTCAAGAAATATAAACCTGTTCACTGAATAGAATACATAAGCCTTTTTCCTAACGGCATAGAAAATATTTTTTTGAACTAGTATTTTAAGTTTGGTCTTTCATTTGTTTTGTATTTTTGAGACAAGGTCTTGATTTGTTGTCCAGGCTAACCTTGAACTTGAAATTCTTCCTGGGTTTCAGGTGTGGGCAACAGGCCTGGCTTAAAAATGGATAAATAGAAGCCGGGCGATGGTGGCGCATGCCTTTAGTCCCAGCACTCGGGAGGCAGAGGCAGGTGGATCTCTGTGAGTTCTAGACCAGCCTGGTCTACAGAGCTAGTTCCAGGACAGGCTCCAAAGCCACAGAGAAACCCTGTCTCGAAAAAAAACAAACAAAAAAAATGGATAAATAGCATCGGTTTTGAGTGTCGCATGTAAACTACATTTGTTCAATCCAACTGTTACGTGAATATCTAACAAAAAATTGCTGCATATGCCGCCATTGCAATTCTGTCTTTTATTATGCTACGGAACAGATGGATTTCTAAAACTTCCCATTAGCTAAGACCGTGTCACGTGCTCCCCACCACATTTGTGTGATGTCTGCCTGTTGTCCTGCTGGAGTTGTTTTTTTTTTTTTTTTTTNTGTTTTTGATCTTGGCCATTCTGACAGATTTACACAATGGAGTACTACAAAGTGGAAAAAAAATAATGACATCCTGATTTTTTTTTTTTAGGTTTTCAAGACAGGGTTTCTCTGTAGCTTTGGAGCCTGTCCTGGCACTAGCTCTTGTAGACCAGGCTGGCCTCGAACTCACAGAGATCCGCCTGCCTCTGCCTCCCTGCCGTAGTTTATTATGTAGGTGGTGCACGCGTGCAGGACGTTCATCAGTCAGTCCTTTTGTACAGCACAACAGCAGACCCGGCCTGCCCCCTCATTCTCTGAATTCCACCTTGGTTTAGAGTGGCTAATGTCGATCTCTTTGTGGCACCTTGTATTATTCATATCTTACTGGGACATTAGCTGAAAGAATAGCATTTCTCAGGAAGATTCCTAAATAATAATAATAATAAAAATTGGTTTTTAATGACTTAAATTATAGTAGGTTGAAACCGGACTAGCCCCTCTGTGTTTTTGCACATGCCTTCAAGTTTACATAGTTCAAGTTGAACAGAATGCTCCTAAGAGGTCTCCTTTTCTTATTTCTTCAAGGCAGTTTTCTGACCTGAACTCGCATCCTGGCAGGGACCTACGCCCTTTATAACCTCCTGTAAAACAAAACAGAGGAATTAGGCGTGTGAGCAAATGGAACCGCCTTGGAAGTGTGAAGGCCCTCCCTGCAGCCGTGTTCTGCACTGGCAGATTATAATGGCAGTTATTAGCCAGCTCTCCTTGTCCCCGTGACACAGTTACACCTCTGCGAAATATCTGCATATTAAAAAGCAGCTGGCCTCCTATAAAAACACACAGACACACACCCAAAGCAACACTCGAGCAGAATATAAACAGCGGTGATATTGTCTGACTTTATGGCATCGGTGGTGGCTACTGTTTTTTTCTTCGTGTTTTTATGTGTTTTCATCATTGCGGCAAGCTATATAAAGCTCCACTGTATGACGAGCCCAACCAAGCCGTCCAGAGGACCCGTAAACAAACTCAGCCAGCCCCAAACAGTGTCTTTGTGAACAAATTACTAACGTTTTTCTCCCCCTCGCTTTATCTCCTCTGAGGCAGTGGGGAAGAGACGGGTAGGAAAGAACCTCATCTTGTTTTGAAGCTAGCTATTCAAAGGGTAGAAAAAAATACAGAGGGAAAATAGATTTGTTATGGCTAAATATTTTTGTTATATTTATTTATTTTGGGGGAAATCGTGAGTTTGGTCGGGATTGGGAGGCGCTTTGTGGGTCGTAGCTTCTGTATAGTCAGTCAGAAGGCAACCTATAGAAAAAATCACAGTTTCTTTCCGTCCACAATGAGGGTCCTGAGGATTAAACTCGGGCCTACAGTTTTCCCAGCAGTCACTGTTGTTACCCTGAGCCATTTATTATGGCTTTGCCTTTTATTTTTGTGGTAGTCAACTTAAACTTTTCAATTATTGAACACTTTGTTTTGCCCCCCCCAGTTTTAATTGAATTATAGAACAATAAATAATAATAATAAAATGCCACCACCACTGGCTTCATAAAGCAAGCTGTTACTTAGAGGCAGGCCAACATATGGAGAAGCCCATGCCAGGTTTTGAATTCCGCAGTTCGTATGCTAGCAATTTGCAAAAATTGAAATTATTCACCTCAATCAGAAATGTCGGTTGCATTTCCACAAGAAAGGATTCGAGAACTGTGTACTAGTTTTTCACTGTGCCTTCCGGGTTTATTTTTTAGGACAATTGTTTTTGCAATAGATGTTCTTTTTTAAAAAATATAGAAATTCTATATATTAAAGACAAGGTTTATTTTTTAAGATGAGACTTTCTCGTTTGGTGAAGGGTCAATATCAAAACCATCTTGATGCCCGTCTCATGTGTATTTTCTAATTGATGCAGAATTGTATTGTGACTCAGTTTACCAATGTAAACTCTTCATAGGATGTCACTGATTTTATCAGTCAGTTGTTCATGCAGCTGGGAACTGTGGGAATATATGATTTGCCACATCTGAGGAACAAACTGGGTGAGCACAATTGAAATAATCTTTATCTTCACTGTTGAGCCAGCTTTCTGCTGCCCTGTTGTCTTATGCAAATCAATGCCTATTTATTCTTGCGGGGGAAGGAGAATGCACAGATTGTTGTTTTCCTACGCATCCTTGCTTGAGCTGGCTTTCCTACCACCTTGACTTTCTCTGCTGCTTTATGTAACTTGCCGATCTCACGTGCTCCGATTGCACCATCAAATCCCAAGTGTCATAGCAGACATGAACCCAAGGCGGAGAAGACCAAACTGAGAAAGGCTGGCTAACATGCAGGTCACATTTGTAAAGTGACTAAGCTGTCCTAGCTTGTTTATTCCTTTCCCCAAAGACTCCCTCAAGGAGGAACCACGAATAGTATATCCCCTAGTGCCAAGACATACGTGCAAGCAGCATGAGAGAACTACATTCACATGTATAGCAGACACATGCTATGGTTCTAAGCTGGAAGAGTGAGGTCATAGCCTTTTAGAGAGGAGGTGGCTCTTTTGAAATGAATTGGCATACCGGTCCCCCATCACCAAGTTGCCTTTCATCTTTTGTAAAGCAGCTTCTACTAAAAGAATAGAATGTCGACTAGGAAAAGAAGGATCCCTTTGGCTCACTCACTTTATATCTTCAGAATGAATATTTAAATTGTTGCTCACATAGGATTTGATGGGAAGAATGGATGGTGAGCAAATCAAATCGATGAGATGTCTTACCCCTTTTTGTGTTTTAAAATGATACTGCTTCTCCTCATCCTTCCTCCTTTTCTTGCTTACTAAGTCCTAAAAGCCAGCTGCAAAAAGAGAAGTGAGAACCGGTCTCGAAAGCACCATCATCATTGTAGTCACATTGCCCGGGCTTTGTAATGGGTCCGCAGCAGTCCATCTTACTAGAAAGGAACTGCTCCTGGACTGCATCTTCCCGTAATTTAGAGAATGTCAGGCATCCTCTAAAACTAGCTCGAAATGAGCACAATGAGCAGAAATAAGCTGCACCTTCTTGGTTCTTCAGGGACCTGGATGAGGAGAGACTGTGTTAAGTTTCCTTTGTTTGGAATGGCACAGAATTCTAAGATACTGCATGGTGGTACTTGAGGAGGAAGACTGCGTGGGAAACTGCCCCAAAGTAGATCCACTGCTTTCTCAGTACCGTTTATAAAATTCTGCCCTAAATTTCTTCAACCTTCCTCCCACTTCTGGGGAAACATCAACCAATAGAAAAGTTAAACCCTAGTCTTTTTTCCTAAGCATATACCGTGGTACCTACAACCACATCCAAGCAGCACTAGGGCTACATTTAGATGTGTAGGAGATGCATGCTATGGGCCTAAGCCGCTAGGATTTAGCGTGTTGCTTCAGCAAACTGGCATTTTAGAGACGCAGTCACGTAGATGCATGTGCTTTGCAAGCATGTTGCCTGGATGCATATTTCATGCTTTTTCAGTATTGAGCTCAATAGCTACCAACACCTAATATAGTAGTGCTGGTATTGCTTTTTTTTTCTTCTTTTTGCTTGACAAAGGTTACTGTGATAAAGTGTTAAGAGATGGTGTAATCTTTGTTGGCTTGTAACTCTAGCTTTTGTCTTGTAGTTATTAAATAGATCGTCTGTTGGGAGGCTCTTTAAATACCACAGCCAAGAACAGACTTTGGTTTAAGAGGCAAACACCTGGATCTACCTCTAGCAGCTAGTGGAGGCCATGGCAGCTACAGTCCCTTCTGGAATCTGTTTGCATGTAACATGCAAAGGAGTCCTGGTGACCTACCTCCAAGGCAGCTGCCATCCTGAACGTTTCCTTGGAAAACAGTAATCACCACTGTGGAATGTGAGCAACCAGAGACTGCACAGAAAGAAGGAAAAACCCCGTGGAAGAGATGAAGTCTCAGGGGGCTTCAGCATTTAGCATTTTCCTAAGTCTTTTTTCTTTCTTTCCTTGGATGAATACTGTTATGCTAAAAAGGTTTCTCCAAACTCAACAGGATTTGGGTTTTGGGTTTGTGGACCTTCTTTTTCTGTTGTGTCACGGTGAACAGTTTGCTCTCAGTTAACTCACTTTTCCCGGGTGCCTTCACTTTCTCCAATCACCTTCAGGAACTCCCAAACCTATAGTAGAAGAAAAGAAGGCTTTGAGATGACCTGAAATGGGCAGATGTTAGCTATTGAAGGGAAGATGTTTCCCGGGAAGAAGGAAGGATGTTTTCTTAGCTAAATACGAAAAGGTGTATCTTCTCTGGCACAGTGGTCCCCTGCAGTGCCTCCAGCCAGAAAGATGATGTGATCAGTGCCTTCCTTTTCTATTGTTTTTCTCTTCTCTTTTCTTTTTTCCTTCTGTTTCATTTTTTTTTTAAATTAGGTGCTAGCTTTTTGCTAAGACGTTGACTTACTATATATCTGAAGGTCCTATAAAATTGATGGGCCTCATTTCATTTCACAGATAGCAATGGTTAGCCTCTTAGAAAGTTTAAGCTCATAAGAGTTTTTGACAGTGAGGCTGGGAAGATGGTTCACATAATTAAGAGCACTGGCTGCTCTTCCAGAGGTCTTGAGTTCAATTCCCAGCACCCACATGGTGGCTCACAAACATCTATAATGAGATTTGGTGCCCTCTTCTGGTGTGCAGGTATACATATAGGCAGAACACTGTATACATAATAAGTAAATAAATAAATAAATCTTTCAAATAAAAAGAATAGATAAAACTTGAGTAAAGAAAAAAAGGAGGAAAAGAAAGAAAGAAAACAACCCAAAAACTCACCTATCCAACACTGTGTCACGTGCTGTTAATATCCAGCACTTGGAAGGCAGAGGCAGGAGGATAACAAGTTGGAGGTCAGCATGGTTTACATATCAGCCTGGCTAATATTTAAAAAAAAAAAGAAGAAGAAGAAGAAAAATAGTTTCTGACTGTAAAATGATACCCCTAATCTTTCAAACTTAAGGACTTCCCTGGGGCTAAAAAGTAAAAGAAAAGCGATCTCACTGAAGTAAATGGTATTTAGAGCCACAGTTGGCTAGTTTTTCTGGTGAATTCCAGCACAAAAGCATAGTGAAGGTTAGTTTTGTGGGGTGGAGTGTGTATTGCTTTGGCTGTCACTGAAGCCTTAGGAGAGTGTTTTTCCAGGTTAGGTCTTCATACCCTTGAGCCCTCTCACTTTCTTGCTTTGAACCAGAGTTCTTTGACTAAGCAGGTGACTTTAACTTGTCTTTCCCCTTTGCTGTCCCACACACTGAGAATCAAGCTTTTGAACATAAGTGTAAAGCCCAATGGAATCCCTTGTGAAATGGCCTTTCCTTAATAGCACTATTGTTCAGCCTGATTGCTGTCTTGAAGCTCCTTCCTGCTAAGCAGTGGAGTCATTTCCTTCTCCCTTGGTTTAGAACTGACTTGGAAGATGGAAAAGGTGCACGTATACATAGCGTGTTTTATCTACCCCACTCTTCTCCCGTGGCTCAGTTAGCTCAGAAGATTTGTGATCTCTGAGTCATCCTGGCGGTTTTATGCCATGTCCAATTTACTGGTTTGCTGATTTTTTTTTCTAAATCCTACCTCTAGTTTCCATAGTCTTCAACATCTAGAATGTGGTCACCACTCCATACGTGGGAAAGAGGCCATTAACAATTCCCCATGTCTTCTGCAGGTGCCTCTGGTGTGTCCTTGTAAAGAAATGGCCTGGTGTCTTTATCCACCAGGATACCCTTCCATTTTTCTCTCTTTATCTTCACCACCTAATGCAGATAGAACTTTATAGGTCTGGGGAAGTGAACTCCACTTTTCCTTCTGCAGACATTTTACAAGTAACGCTGGCCGACAACGTATCAGCTACTTTTCTGTTGCTCTCATAAAACACCATGACTAAAGAGACCTATAAAAGAAAGTGTTAAATTTGGCCTACCGATTCAGAAGAGTCCATGATGGTGGCGTGATTACCTCTTGAACCACAAGCTCTAGGCAGTGAGAGCTATCCGGGTATTGTGGAATTTTCTGAAACCTCAAAATCCATCTCTAGTGACACACCTCCTCCAACAAGGCCACAAGTCCTAATCCCTCCCCATCAGTTCCACCAAGTGGGGCACAAAGTATTTACGCCAATGAGCCTATGGGGGTGGGGAGGTATCCTCATTCAAACCAGCACCCAACACATGGCTTTTCTTGGGTTCTGGAAACACTGACCTGGGATGTGCTATATCTTTAGTTCTCTGTTCTAAAAAATATTATCAAGTTTCCAGCCTCCAGAACCCTCAAAAAGTTAGATATTTTAGAGCTGGTTGTCAGGGTCTATAAATATTGTTGGCTACAGACGCAGATGTACTTGCTATGGAAAATTTTTTTATGTTTCTCTGTGTAATTTGGTTTCTAAATGTTAATGGGAGCAAAGTAGTGGACACAAAACTGTAGATACACTCCAGAGGACTCCAGGTACACTAATGCTTAGCATTGTTTGTAGGAATTGCCTGTTTGTCTTCCCTTCTGCTCTGTAAGAGACGGGATTATTGACTCTGTATTACAAGATACTGTATTCCCTGTATGTCAATCAATATGTGTCAAATAGCATGGAAATAATGGGCTTAATAAATAATTTTGTAAGAAAGAAGTTTGAAAAAGATACCTCATTGTGATATTGTTTTTAATGGTTCTCAAATGTTCCTACTTTGGTGCCCTTAGAGACTATGGCCAGCACTCAGGCCATTTGTTAAATGACTTAAAAGACATCAAATATGCTTGCATGTGTGTGTGTGTGCGTGAATGAGTGAGTGTGTGTGTGAGTGCCTGTGAGTGTGCATGTATGAGTGTGTGTGTGGAGTGTGCGTGTGTGTGTTCATTTACTTATGCCTTAAACTTCTTGAGTTGAGAAATTCAAAAAGGGTTCTAAGTTTAAAATAGTCAAGTTCTAGCTTTTGGAGCAGAGACTCAATTAGTGGCCCAGGAAAAGAGAGAACTTCACGTCTGTGCTGCTTCCTGTGTTAACTAGTCTGGAAGAGGCTAGGTTATGCCCTGCTTCTGCTGAGCATAGGAAGGAATTGGAAATGATTAACAGTTTAAATAAGCTTTCGTGGGTTCTTCTTTCCTGATAGTTGAGACTTTGAACAAGGCACTGAGAACTCGCCCATGGATGCTGACCACTTGGCTGGGTAGTAACTGGTACTTTTAGCTATTTCTGGAAGTGTTTTAAGTGTAAATCAAGTGTCTTCGGCATAGGTAATAATCAAATTTAACATCCTCCATTCTTATGTTTGCATCTACAGGCCAATATTTTCTACTTAAAATGCATCATTATTTGGTTGCAGCTTCCTGGCAGCTTTGCACTTGATTAGAATTCAACTTTTTAAATGAACTGTTTAGTCTTGTTAATAGGCAGAAAACCGCTGCTTATTCTTGGAACCAAATTAGGGAAGTTGGCTTCTTTCTGAGAAAGCTATGGTAGTCTGGAGGGATTTAGTTAAATGTGAATTTGGTCAATTAGCCTTGTCGCTGTTTTTTTTTTTTTTTTTTTTTTCCTTTGGTTTTTGGTTTTTCAACAGGGTTTCTCTGTAGCTTTAGAGCCTGTCCTGGAACTTGCTCTCTAGATCAGGCTGGCCTAGAACTCACAGAGATCCCGGTTTCCACTGCCCAAGTGCTGGATTAAAGGAGTGCTTCACCACCTCCCAGCTGCCTTCCTTCACACTGTAAACACAGCAGCAAATGAAGTGGTTTATTTTCCACTGAAGTCTCTACCTACAAGGGAGGCCAAGAAAGGCACAGAGCTGAGCGTTCGTTGTTTTTCAGATACCATAGCTCTCCAAATACACGTTTATCATTCAGTTCTCGAAGATCTCTGAGGTACTGCTCTGTGAAGTAGTAAATCAATGTGATGGATGGGACTTTCATGTCCAGATTTTTATTTCTTTTATGATTTGTGTGGGCTTCTTTTAAAACTGCATGAGTGGACCACTATAATAATGTTATAATCTATAACAATATGCATATGACATATTAAATGATTAAATGAGCAGGGTAGATTGTAATAAGTCATTTCAGATGATCTCATTAATAATGAAAGAAAGTCACTACCATAATCTTGTTTCCAAAAAAACAATGCTAATGTGTTACTGTTAAATTTGCATTTCAGGAGCCTCTGGAGTGCTGTAACTTAGGTTGGCACCACTACCAGTATTTTAAATGCACAGCTCAGTTGACAATCTGAAAGGAAGTTATCTGAATGCATAGACAAAATGTTAGACAACGTTGTTGCCTATATATCTACACAGCAACAGCAACAGATGGTGTCCTGGGAACTTTTCTGTTGTCTCTAGAAATGTTTATACATGCTTATATTGTTGCTTTTGGGGAGCTTTTTTTAAACTATTAAAATGCTTTCAGCTTTAGTGTTATTTTTAATCCTTCCTAGCAATCCTGCAAAGTAGGATGAGTCACGGCTGTCTTGCCCACGTCAGTTGAAAACAGAGAAAGGCTCCCTCATCATCACTCAAAGCTCCATGGCTGAGAGGTTACAGAACTGGAATTTAAAAAGCAAAACTGAGCCGGGCAGTGGTGGCGCACACCTTTAATCCCAGCACTTGGGAGGCAGAGATGGGCGGATCTCTGTGAGTTCGAGGCCAGCCTGGTCTACTGGAGTGCTGGTTCCAGGACAGGCTTTAAAACTACAGAGAAACCCTGTCTTGAAAAACAAAAACAAACAAACAGAAAAAAAAAGCAAAACTGTTGGTTCTTGATGTCTCTTGACCAGTGTACTATGTGAAACAATCATTCAAATATTTTCTGTAAAGTGTACCCAGAGAAGCAATGGAAGGATATTTTGGTGACTTAAAAAAGATCTTTATCAAAAAACAGAAAAAAAAAATATCCCAGCAGGTCAAGATTATTACTAGGGAGAGTAGGGGGTGGGGAGGCTAAGGAAGGACATTGGAGAATATGTGGTGATTTAATAGGAATTTTGAAGAGGAAGAGGAGCCCCTAGGACAGCAGTTCTCTGAGCTTGAGTGCTCCATGCTGAAAGGCCTTTGAATTGTAGCAGATTCTCTGTTGCAGTAGGAATTGGCAAACACTAGTGGAAACTTAAATTGTCTCATGTATGCACATCGGTCTTCAGAGACCAATGTTTATACAATTGAAAAAATTCTTTGGGAGGGGGGGACATTAACTACACTTGTTGTGGGATAATGTGGCCAAAATTTTAGCCTCTTAACCCTCACAAACATTGAGTTCCCTGTGGCTGGAAGAGACCCTGAGAACTTTCCAAACAGGGAAATAATAGAATCCCTCTGGGGAGGTCCCTAAGGTTAGCCTCCAGCAGTGACCTTTGAGCTAACCCAATCAAGGCCTCCTTTCCCCCTCTGAGCTGCCCTATACAGGCCTGCCCATCTGTGCCAGCATGCCCTCCCTTTCGCAGAGTGACTTCAGGCTAACAAAAGAATAAGAGAAGATTCCTCTAACTATGGAATGCTATAAAATACAGCTTTAAAGAATAAAACATGATGTAGGTGGGTCTTCTATCTATCTGTTGCTTTCATTGGTTAATTAATAAAGAAACTGCTTGGGCTGATAGGTCAGAACATATTTGGGCTTTTCCATTTGGGGATATGTTAACTGGATCACCAGTCCCAGTGTTACACACTTCAAATTTCTACCAATTAGCCCTATGTTCAAGCCTTTCTTCTTTCTGCCTGCCTCCCTCCATGCTCATTCTGGTCACGCTCTCCTCCTCGATGAGATGTCGTTACAGGAAAGTAATGGGGTTGCAAAGCCAATGGATCAGAATGCAAACCTGGGTCTGTCACCACACAGGGTTCTCTCCGTGGTCATATGGAAACACGCAAAGGGCCATATTACTGAAATAAAGTGGAGACAATATTAAGTACCTCATAATGGGCATAGTCTAGTACATCAGCAGATTAACTGCAAAAGAGGATTTTGCTTGGCTACACAGAAGGCATTTGCCATCTGCTCTTAGAGTCTACTGAAGGGAGCCTCTTCTGACAAAAAAATCAGAGGAGGAAAACCCTATTCCTGCCAGGTAAACAGCCCTGTGGCCTTCAAGAGGAAGGATGACTCCCTGACTGGTCATGAAAAATACAGAACTGTTTATCATTTCTTCACTGATTGATTGTAAGGAAATAAATGCAAATCACCTTGGCTATGATAACTGCCCTAAGTATTTAAGCTTTTTCCATAGACATCCTTTCCTTCCTGAAAGCGCATTTTGTCTGGTGGCCAACAACGCTAATCTTAGAAAAACTGACTTCTCTGCTTTCTAGAATAATCATCAGACATCATCAGCGAAAATAAAGTTTTTCTTTTAGTTGGCAGAGGGCTACACAGAGACCTGAGAGCTGAATACAGGTATAATTGGTCTTTCTTTTTTTTTTTTTTTTTTTTTTTTGACGTGGTTGCAGTATGAAGTCAAAGGCAGCACCGCTATCAGTTACTGCCATGAGACCATGACTGGATGGGTGCATGATGTCCTGGGCCGGAACTGGGCTTGCTTTACTGGCAAGAAGATGGCAAGTCCTTTGGAGAAGTTTAACGTGAACATGGCAAAGCTTGGAAGTCCCCAGGAAAAGTGAGTTGTGGTGAGGGATGTGTCCACGTAGCTTTGTCTTTTGGTACATGTGGTACGAGTGTGTTCACTTTGAGCAATTGTAATTTTGGCTTATGAACTTAGCCGTGTTACATAAAACTGTACTGGAACTCTATGTGGACTCATGGGAGAAAGGTCATATTTCAACAAGTTTCAATAAAACGGGGAGTGGTTAAAACTAAAATGAATGATCAGAGGAGCAAAATTGTTAATGACTAGTAGAGAAAAATTATTTCACTGGCTGTGGTATAGTAATGTATTTAATATATGTATATGATAATGCTACAGTGAGTGACCAGGTAATGCAACAAACTGGAAATACAGCAAACAGCTGAAGTTAAAGTTCTTGGTATTTCTGTAATGTCAATGCCCAGCAATCACATAGAAGCATAGCAGACTGGGTGGCCTAAAGGAAAGTTTGCTTTGCTGTGCATTTTGAAGGCTACAACTTTGTTTCTTCTTTGCTTGCTGCTGGTGCCTCCTCTCACTATCTCCTTATTTGGTCTTCTTTGCTGTATCCTAAATTTTTTGCCTCAGGACCTTAACTAAGCTAGACCAGTGCCCACGCTAATGACCTAATTTAGCTCTTATCACCTCTTTAAAGAGATGATTCCAAATCCAATCTCAAGCTGAGATATTGAATGTCAGGGTTTTAAC